TTTTACTGATGAGGAAACTGAGGCATATAGAGTGGAAACTTAGCTCACCCTCATAACACGCCCCCTCCAATCCAGTTTATCCAGATCTAATTTATAGCTAAATGAACAGAGTTTAAATAATGCATCCAGAGTCATGCAGTAAATCAACCACTAGGAAAGAGGAGAAGGGAATTTACCAGTTTACCAGCAGCAGATACCTTGATTCTCTCTCTCTAGTCTAAGTTGTTGGTGAAAACATAGGGGAGCACCCGTTTAATTATAATTAAATGCCTGGGTGAAGAATGTGTCTACCAGGTAGGGCCAGCCCTCGAGTAGACAGAGCAGAGATATCCCCTTTTGTCCAGAGCTATAACTTGTGTGGGGATAGATCCATTTGTGCCTTTTTTTTACCTCCCCAGTCCAGGCCACAGGACCTGACATTCTGCATGTTAGGGAAGAATTCATTTTGTTGGGTTTTGAAATCTTGTCTGTCTTCCAAGGTCTCACACCCCTGAAAGGGCTCTCCAGGGACCTGGAATAGCTTACAGCTCATACCTTTGCCATTGGACCCAGGAGAGGGTCCTGGAGATGATGGGAGTGAGGACCCTGTCTGAGACACTTCTTAGTGTAGTGAAAAGGGTACTGGATGTGGAGTCTTGTCTGTGGAGTCTGACTTCTATTCCTGGTTCTGTTGTTTCTACCTCTGTGACCTCCAGCAAAGCTCCGTAGGCCTCAGTGTCTTCATCTGCAAAATAAAGGGTAAGGAACAGATGGTCTCTGAGACCCCTTCCACCTCTGAATCTATTATCCTATAGTCTGGGGTGCTTCAAACTCTGCTCAGGGCCAACTCTAGATATCAGTTTATGATCTTGGAGCAGAGAGAGTTATTGGGTCATTACAGAAAGAACTTGAGATGATGATGATGATGATGATAGCTCACATTTATATGGTGCTTTACAAATATTATTTCATTTAATCCTCACAACTGCCATGTAAGGTAGGGACTATTATCCCCATTTTACAGATGAGGAAATGGAGGTTGAAAATGGAGGTTAAGTGACTTGCTCAGGGTCACACAGCTAGTAAGTGTTTAAGGGGAGATTTGAACTCAGGTCTCCAGGGGCAGCTAGGTGGTACAGCAGAGAGAACACTGAGCCTAGAGGCAGGAAGACTCACCTTCCTGAGTTCAAATCTGGCCTCAGACACTTACTAGCTATGTGACCCTAGGCAAGTCACTTCACCCTGTTTGCCTCAGTTTCCTCATCTATAAAATGAGCTGGGGGGGGGGGGGATGGCAAAACACTCCAGGATCTCTGCCAAGAAAACCTCAAATGAACAATAACTACTTCCTGACTCCAAGTTCAGCATTCTATCCGAAACCTGCCTTTCCCCTTGAAAAACAAACTCCATTACTGCTGCTCTGAAAGAATATAATGACTCAGAGAAACATGGGAAGATTTCTCTGAAACTGATGCAGAGCGAAATAGGCAGAACCAGGGAACAACAGGGACGACGAACCATCAACGATTTAAGTGGAAAGAACAATATCAACAAAATAATCAAAACTTATTGATTAACTGTAATGACCAAGCTTGGCCTGAAAAGAGAAAGAGGAGAAGGTGACCTCTTCTTGCCTCTTTGTAGAGGTGGGGGACTATGGGTGTGGAATACTGCTATGTCCTACTGGGTTGATGTGTTGGTTAGTTTTGTTGAATTGGTCTTTTTTTTTTTCTTTTTTATGCTTTGTTCTAAGGAATGACTCTCCGGAAGGAAGAGGGGTTAGGGATATATTAAAAAATGTAGATGATGTAAAACAGAACATATCAATATATATTTTTTTAAACCTCAAGCTGTATATGGTACAATGTGCAATGAGATAGGACTTCTTTTAAAGAAACCACCCACGGAAGCCAGAGAGCTCACCCAGCTCCCGGAATAGGTCTAAACAAGCATTTGGTATGTCCTCTTCAGGCATTTCCAGACAGAGTTGGCTCTATTTATTGACTTTACACTTAGAAGGGAAAGTAAAGGTCATCTCATCTAGTCTAACTACCTCCTCCATTTTATAGATGAGCAAATTGAGCCCCAGAGTGGGAAAACATTCTTATCCAAAACTGCTCAGCTGGCTGAGATTCAAACCCAGATCCTCCAAAACTCAGACTTTCCCCTTTATATCATAAATCACACAATTTCCAAGTCAGAAGGGAGCCGAAAGAACTGTCACACTTGACCAAGAGTCCCTCCTACACCAGACTTCTACTGAGGGGATGCCCCTCCCCCCCTCCCCCCCACCTCATGATATCCCATTACCCTTTGGACTAGCTTTCGTTGGGAGGGCATTTTTCCTTCCAGTGGGCTGAAATTTGCCTAGTCTTCATTTTAAGTAAACCTGTGTTATAGTCAATGAAAGGTTTAACAACTGGAATGTTTAACTCCCAAATACAGGATGTACTTTTAAGTTAAATCTGTATTAATAACATTTTTCTCCATCACTTTCCTAAGTCTGAATAATTAACAAAATAACAAATCAAGTCCTGATTTGTACTGTTCGGCTTCCCAACTGGCTCCAGCATACCCCTGGTTACAGGGTTCCCAACTTAACTTCATTGCTGAGTAATAACACTTTTATAGAGCCCTTTAAGGTTATGAAGTATTTCATTTTTTTTAAAATATAGATTTCCTTTTTATTATAAACTTAAACATAAGTACTTCAATATGTAAAGAACCGAAAAGTATATAAAACTGACCTTCTATTACTTATAATTTGGGTTTTTTTAAAGTGTATATTAAATTTAACATGATAGGAAAAATATTGTCCTGCTTGTCTTACTTCCTTCTGAACATCTTTGGTACAAAGTACTTTACCTCCATTATCTCATTTCATCCTCACAATAGCTATGGGAGATACAAATATTAGTTTATGGTCCCATTTTCCAGGTGAGAAAACTGACATGCAGAGAGGTAAAAACTGGAAAAGATAACTAAAACACTTGATGACAGAATCAAAATTCAAAAATATCTTCATGGGCTAGAACACTTGGCCAAATCTAATGAAATTTATTTGGAATCAATGTAAAGTTTTATTCTTTGGCTCATCAAATCAAGATGGGGACAGCAGACTAGACAGAGGTTTCTCTGAAAAAGACCCTGGGGGATTTAGGGACAAACTCACTTTGGGGCAACAGGGTCCTGATATGGCGGCCACAGTGCAATATTAGGTTTGATTGAGAAGCTTAGTGTCCAGGGATCTGGAAGTGATAGAACCACAGTGCTCTGTCCCAGCCAGACCCCATCCTTAGAGAGCATTAGAATGACCATAATAAGCTGGAGATCCCACGGAGGAGGGCAACCGGTGTTGTGAATTGCCTAGAGATCAGGAATATGAAGACTGGTACAAAGAATTGAGAATATTGGTCATATATGTATGTATATATACAGATATGTGCATATATGTGTGTATATACACATGTATATACCTGGGTTCAAATTTATGCATATACATATATATGCATACACACATTTATGCATATGTTTACCTATATTTATATAATATTTACATACATTTTAAACACATATACAAGGGTGTGCTGGAATCAGCTGATTGAGAAGAGCCCTGTGTTAAATTCTCAGTGTGAGCATTTATACCTTGGAAATCAGCAAATGCTACAAATCAGGGCTTAAGTCACTATCTTGTTGATAGCCTACCAGGGGTGGGGAAAATGTTAATAACAGATTAAATTTAAAAGAATATCTTGCATGCGTAAATCTGTGTACATATACATGAATAGTGGCATCTAAGTGGAATATATTGCTAACTATTATTGATAGTATATATACTAGTATACTACTATATATATATATATACACATATATTATAGCTATTATTAACAGTTGTTGTTTAGTTACATCTGACTCTTTGTGACCCTTTGGACGTTACTGTCCGTGGGGTTTTCTTGGCAAAGATACTGAAGTGGTTTGCCGTTTCGTTCTCCAGTGGATCAAAGCAAATTGAAGTTAAGTGCCTTGCCAAAGTATGTCTTGTATTTGGGAGTTAAACATTCCAGTTGTTAAGTGACTCCAGGGTCAGCACTCTATCCACTGAGCCACCTAGCTGCCTTCTAGACCAATGGAGGTTAAGTGACTTGCCCAAGGTCATACAGCTAGTAAATGTCTTAGACCAGATTTGAACTCAGTTCTTCCTGACTCGAAGACCAGTGCTCTGTCCACTGGGCCACCTAGCTTCAGGCTTGGCTCTAACAGGACCCAGAGATGTTCTATAGTTTACAAAACACTCTCCTTGTGATAAGCTTGTGTGGTAAGTAATACAAGCATCATGATTTCCATTTTACAGATGGGGATGCTGAGGCTTATCACTTAAGTCATAGTTACCATACTTAAGCTTGAAGTCACCAAGCTGACAAATACAAATATCAGAGTGGGAGCTAGGACCAACCCAGGGTTCCTGATTCAGCTCTGGTTCTTTGCCCTTTGCCTAGATCTTTCCAGACTTATTTCACATTATTATGCTTTACATATCTAAGGTACAATGAAACTGGCCTGCTGTTCTGCCTACATGAAGTTGGCACACCTGTTCCTCATGCCTACCATACTCTTCCTACTCACCTTTGCCTCTTGAATCCCCAGCTCCATTCAAAGCTTAGCTACAGTGCTGCCTCCTGCCTGAGGTCTTTCCTGGTTCCCCCACCAGAAGTTAGCATCCCTCCCCCAAAGACTTTACATTTACTTTGTATAGTCAACAAGCATTATTAATAGCCTACTATGTGCCAGGCATGGTCTTAAAGTGCTGGGGATTCAAAGAGAGGCAAAAGTCAGTCCCTGCTCTCAAAGAGCTCACATTTTACAAATGAGGAATAGGAGTGCAATACATGCCTGCCAAATTGAACTGAAATGATCATTCTCAAAATCTTTCCTTCCAAATCCTTCAGATTCAGCTTTTCTCTGAGTAACAGAATCCCAAATTATGCCCATGCCTAGGTTGGAAGAACCAAAGTCGGTGTAAGTGGTTTAAAAGTAGAAAATATTTTATTGCAAAACTATTTTATTATACAGTACAAACTCTCATTGTATATCACGTCCAGGACACTGGCCTTGTGTCGCCTGGCCCATTTGGGAACTCGGGCAGAAACCTCAAGTGAGGAAATGTCTATTGTAGTCTTTCCCAAGAGATGGGAATGAGGTGTTTCTGCAAGTGGCCACTAGAGGGGGCTCTCTTCCCATAATTGAATGACATGGGCCAGGGTCTTCAGGGTGCAAGTTTCTGTTTCAAAGATGGAGTCGTCAAAAGGGAGAAAGGGCCAGGGGCCAATCTTAACCAACCAGTTATTACAGCTGCCAAGGGCCACATTCAAGTCCAGTGAATTTTTTCTCTTGTCCCCTGAGATTGGTTAGAGTGGCTTTCATTTCAGCCAGAATCATGGAGTACAACTCCACTTTGGTTCTGGCCAGGTCCATAGTCCTGGCATCTTCTGCAAGAGTAGTCAATAATCACAGGAACACAGTTAGGCCTGGAAGAGACTTTGGACATCATCCAGGCCAACCCCTTCATTTTACAGAGAAGTCAACGGACTTGTCTCAGGTCCCACAGGCAAACAAGCAGCAGAGTCAGGATCTGAATTCTGGGCCTTTGACTCCAAATTAATCCAGTGTTCACTGCAGTGTACCACCTGTGACTGTTCGATAGACTTCTAGAAGATGTCCAAACTGACTTCCAGAATGCCCCAGAAGAAGGAAAAGTTTATAGAGAATTGGAAACAGCTTCTTGCCTTCGAATCCACAACCTTGCACACAGTAGGAGTTTAATGAATGGTCCTTGAATTGAATAGCACATTCTACTCAGCAATCTCTTCTACAATACACAAATTATTTCTAGCATACACACCCAAATATACACATTCTCACAACACAAATTCAGGTCTTTGGAGATAAGGCACAAATGTGGCCCAGTGACTCCTCCTGGGCCCTTGGGCTTTGAGGTAAAGGGGGAGAAGAAGTGGAGCAAAAAAGTATGCAGCCAGGGACAGGCCCCCAACCTGAGGTAGCAGATTTTGAAAGGTTCCTGGACCTCACACAGCTCCAATTTCTGTCTCCTCCCTTAGTCATAGATTTAGAGCTAGAAGGCCTCCTAGAGGTGACCTAGTCCAAAACTCTTCATTTTACAGATGACGAAACTGAGGCGCAGAGAGGGAAAGTTATTTACTCAAGGTCATAAAGGTAATGTGTAGCAGAGCCAAGATGCGAACCTGGCCCTCTGGTTCCAGATTGCTCATTCTATTCCCCTATACCATACTCCCATATGAAAGGGGTCATTACTTTGCTAAAGGCAAGATACCAAACAATGAAGTCTTCAGATTATGAAACCCAAATGAGCAGGGTGTCAAAGAGGAAACGGGGCAGGTTCAGGAAAGTCTTAGTCACGGATCTTCTACGGTGGTTACAAGTGTCATAGAACTTGAGTCACAAGACTCAACCCAGGAAGGAAACCTTTCTCCCCAGCATGAGCATCTGAGAGGTTCCCTTCCCACTTCCACCCCAAGCCTCTCAGCATGAACTGTCCTAAAATCTCAGAGTCTGAGAGGGACTCCCTACCCACCACCACCACCAGCATGACCCTACAGCTCATAGGAACATAATTTAACACTACAAAAAACCTTAGAGGCCATCTAATCCAACCTTCTGGTGGGACAGATGAGGAAACTGAGACCCAGAGAGGTCAAGAGATTTGCCTGAGGGTATACAGCTAGTAAGTAGCAAAATGTGTGATTCAAACCCAGGTCTTCAGATTCCAAAATCCATTGTTCTCTCTGCTGTACCATGCTGCCTTTTAATAGGCTGAGGCATTTTAATCCCATCCCTTTTCCTCAATTGCACCCTCCCTCCCGTCCCCAGCGATCTCCTCCTCCTACCTGCCTGAGGAATATGGGGATAGGAATCCTGAAGTCTTCATGGGGAGAAGGATCAGGATCTAAGAGTATTCTTGGCTTACCAAGAATTTGGCATTTAGAAGTAGCCTTGGAAATCCTCTAGTCCCTCTCCTTCATCTGACAGATGAGGAAACCAAGGCCCAGAAAGGGAATATGGCTAGGCCAAGACTGCAAAGTTCTTTAGCAGTGGAGCTGAGAAACCCACATGTCCTGATTCCCAGCTCAGGCGCCATGATGCATCTTGGAAGAGACAAAGCAGGATAAGAAAACTGAGAAAGGGGAGAAACCAAGGTAAAAGGCATTCAATACCTCTCCCTGTCATCTTGTCCCCACTCTCTAAAGGCAAGAGACAGGCCTCTGAGGATAAAGGCCCTTGGAAGGGTGGAGGCTGGCCCAAGAAAAGCAACAGAATCCCACCATAAAAGGCGGACCTCAGAAACAGTGCAGTGAGTATCCTGATGAGATCACTCAGCTCCTGGTCAGATCCTTCCAGTAAAGGGGAGACAAGAGGCCCAGCTTGTTAACTGAGTTTCATGCCCATATCCTGTATCCCGATGGGAAGTGGTTTCTCCTCGAAATCTGGCAGCAGGGTCTGAGGTGCATTCTGGGAGCCTGGCTTGCCCTTCCTGGGGCTCTCCTCTTGGGAGAAGGGGACATCCTCATTCCAGGTGGAGCCTGAGGAACTGGCTTCAAAGTCAGGGCAGCTGCTCTGTGATGAACACTGGGAGGTGTGGTCAGAGTTACACACATTGACGATGCAGGTCACCTTGACCTGGGTCCCTCCATTGTGGGCGTGTTCTGTCAAGACACAAAAGCAGAAAGAGGGGTCATTCCACCGAGACCAGGAGAAGGGAGCGCTGGGGGGATTGGAGGATGGGCTGGAGGATTCTCACTCTGGAGCAAGGGTGTTTAACCTAGGGTACCCCATGGGATCCTGGGTAGATCTGTGAACTTAGATAGGTAAAAAAAAAAAATCACATCTTTCTTCATTTTCACTAAATCTAACTGAAATTTAGCCTTTCTTTCAATTACTTTAAAACATTATTCTGAGAAAGTGTCCATAGGTTTCTCTAGTTTGCCAGAAGGCTCCAAGAGTCAGGGGTATGCTGGAGCCAGTTCAAACCGGCCATTAAGCCGATTGTTATATTGTTAGTGTGAGTATTTATATATACACCTCAGAAACCAGCAAATGCTACAAATCACGGTTTGATTTATTGCTTTCTTAATTGCCTAGACTAAAGAAAATGATGAAGAAAATGTTAATTATGGCAGATCAAACTTAAATGTGCATTGTAATATAACATATATGTATATATACAGATACATATGTATACATATATATGAGAGCTTATTGTTAACTTTTATCAGCATGCCCCTGTGACTATGATACAAAATAAGCTTAAGAATCCCTGTTCTATAGGTGCTACCTCAGACACCTACTAGTTGTATGACCCTCTGCCTAAGACACTTAACCTATCTGGGTCTCAGTTTCTTCATCTGTAAAATAAGCATATCAGACTTGATGATTTCTAAGATTCCTTTGGGCTCTAAATCTGTGATCTTTTGGCCCTATGGCACAGGAAATCTAGCCATCAAAAAGTACTTAAGCACCTACTGTGTGCCAAACCCTGGAGATACAAAGAAAGGCAAAAACACAGCTCTGCCCTTGTCTATAAAATGGCCTGGAGAAAGAAATGGGAAACTATTCACGGTAGCTTTGCCAAGAAAATCCAAATGGGGTCATGAAGAGTCAGACATGACTGAAAAACAACTGATTATCTATCTATCCATCTATCCATCATCTATCCATTCATCCATCCATCTATCTATCTGTCTATCATCTATCTATATCTATATCTATCCATCTAGCTTTCTATCATCTATCATTTATCCATATCTATATCTATCTATCCATCCATCTATCCATCTATCATCTATCTATATCTATATCTATCTATCCATCCATCTATCCATCTATCTGCCTATCTATCATCTATCTATCTATCATCTAAGTATCTAATCTCATTTGATCCTTAACCACAGCCCAGGGGAGGTAGACACTATTATAAGATAAGAATTTCTTGTAAGGAGGACCTTGTTTGTATATAAATAGGTGCTACAAAAATGTTTGAAAAGGCTTTTCTTAAGTAGTTTAAACATTCCCTTGGAGACTGTTTGTAGTTATTTTCACTTGCAGATACTTTCCCCCACCCCCACCCCCACAAACAGCCCTCTTTGGGTTTTCATGTAACCGCTATATTTGGAAAATTATGGTTTGATCCAGAGTTATGATCCACAGTCCTGTACTAACAAATGGTGTCAGCGGGGTTCCACTTCACCATCAAAGTGTTCCTAGGTGCAGGGAAAGGGAACCAAGACTGCAAATGTTTTTCAAGGATAATCACCACATCAAAGATCATGGATTTAGGATTTAGACTTTACAGATCCCTCTTCATTTGGCAGGTGAGGAAACTAAGCCCCAGAGAGGAAGTGATTTAACAGATGGGGAAACTGAGGCCAGATGGATAGAGGGAAAGTAATTTCTAGGTCTCCCAGGTAACGAATGAGTCAAATGGATAAATGAGAATTGACTACCTTTTCTTCCTTTTAATCCAATTTAATTCTAATCCTTTTTAATCCACAAAAACAGAGCCTGGGACTCTATTGGAGAAGAAGCCTCTTACCTGAGTTCATGGAGCCAGCCCTGGTTCCCTGGCCACACTTGGACCTCTCTGAGCTTGGAGCCTGGTGTGGGTTGTTTTCCATTCCCTTGGTCTCCTGGAATTCCTTGACTTCCCCAGAGCTCAGCATGCTGTCCAGGGAGTTGCTGCTGGAGGTGGCCTCTGAGTCTAGCAGGTTCTGCTGTTCGGTTCCGGTGTGGCCCGAGATGCTCTGGTTCTTCTCAGCTACTGAGTGAGGCTGGGCAGGGAAACAATGCCATGGGATCATCAGGATGGGGGCACCAGATTGAGGGTCAGGGGAGGGGCTTATTAGAATCATAGAATGTCTGAGCTTCAGGACTCTGGAATATCAGAACTAGGAGAGTCCTTAGAACTGAGAATGTCAGAGCTGGGAGGGCCCTTAGAACACAGAATGTCAGAACTGAGAGGGCCCTTAGAACACAGAATGTCAGAGCTGGGAGGACCCTTAGAACACAGAATGTCAGAGTTGGGAGGACCCTTAGAACACAGAAGTTCAGAGCTGAGAAGGTCCTTAGAACTTAGAATGTCAGAATTGGGAGGACCCTTAGAATTGAGAATGGCAGAGCTGGGAAGGGCCTTAGAACACAGGATATCAGAGCTGGAGAGGCCTTAGGATGTGAGACCTTATGGAGGGTCCTTAGAGACCATGCAGGTCAGGGGGTATTAACCTTTTCTGTTCCATGGATATGCCCTTTAACAGTCTGGTAAAACCTATGGACCCATTCTCAGAGTAATGTTTGTTGCTAACACTCATTATTGAAGGAAAGGTTACATTTCAGTTAAAGGTTAGTGAAATAAAGATGCTACTTTTTTTTCTCATTTGAATTCACACTCCTTGAAATCTCTCCCAGAGTCTATCTCAAGCTAAAACTTCATCTGTGCCAACTTCTTCATTTTAACATAGAAAGGAAATTGAGACCCAATAGGAGGAAGTCACTTATTTGTCCCAGGTCTGCCAGTGAGGGAGCCAGTGGCAGAATCTGGCCTGGGGCCTGGCTCCATGTCCTTTCTAAGTGGGAAGGGCTGACCTGAGGGCTGTCTCTGAGGCAGTGAGTCATTATTATTACTGGAGTCATACCTAGAAGTGCAGCCCCCTCTGGGGTGAGGCCAACGTGTCTCTGCGGCATTTTTCCAGAATGCATCCGAGGGTTCCGGAGTCTGACTAGCTGGAGTTGGAAAATTTAGGAGCTGAGATTGCTGAAAATATTTTATCCTATTGCCCTTTGAAGGCAAAATCACCTTCTCAAAATGCCTATTTTGAGTCTAGCCAGGGGAGCTCAAATATGACACAAGGCTTTGTTTTATGTCAAGGAGGTACCAGTCTCCTTAGTACTGTGGAGAGAACGCTGGCTCCAGAGTCAGAGGATTCAGGTTCAAATCTTGCCTCTGATGGTTATTTCTGGTATCATGCTGGGCAAATCACTTAACCTTCCTGGGCCTCAGTTTCCTCATCTGTAGAATAAGGAGATCAGACGAGATGGCCTTTTGAGATCCCCTTCAGCTTTAAATCTATGACCCTAAACCTAGGGAGATCTCTGCCATGCTTCTCATTTTCCCCATAGTACCAGTCGTAAGGGAGGGGAACTTAGTCAATTTAGTTTGACTTGACTCTCTGGGAGACAACTCCTCTGGGCCTTAGTTTCCTTGTATGTTAAATGAGAATACTAATAGCACCAACTTCCCAGGATTATTGCGAAAATCAAAGGAGATAATATCTGTAAAGTACTTATCACCATGCCTGGCACATAGCAGGTGCTTCATAAATGGGCAGCTAGGTGTTAGCTAAAGTGGTAGCTGAGATGGCACAAAGGATAAACCACTGGGCCTCAGGTCAGGAGGACCCGAGGTCTGTTCCAGCCTTAGACACTTACTAGCTGTGCGACCCATGTTCAATCAGTCCCCAATCAGTGGGCCACCACAAAGAAGAAGCAGCTACAAATATTTTTATACGCACAGGTCTTTTTCCTTTCTTTGATCTGCTTGTGGTGTAGTCATGATAGTGGTTTGTCTGACTCAAGAGTTTCATTGAGTTTTTGTACATAGTTCCAAACTGCTTTCTAGTCCAATTCAAAGTTCCACCAACAAGGCCATTAATTTGCCTGTTTTCCTGATGCTCCTCTTGTGTGGATTAGATGATCTTCCCAGTCCAGACTTGTGTCTTCCAAGGCCCCTCCTAGCTCTGACATTCTAAGTTTCAAGGGCCCTTCCAGCTCTAACATTCTTTGTTCTAAAGGCCCTCCCAGTTCTGACTTCCTGTGTTCTAAGGGCCCTTCCAGCTCTGACATTTCATATTCTAAGAGCCCTCCCAGCCCTGACATTCTGTGTTCTAAGTGCCCTCCCACTTCTGACATCTTGGGTTCTAAGTGCCCTCCCAGCTCTGACATCTTGGGTTTTAAGTGCCCTCCCAGCTCTGACATTCTGTGTTCTAAGTGCCCTCCCAGTTCTGACATCTTAGGTTCTAAGTGCCCTCCCAGCTCTGACATCCTGTGTTCTAAGTGCCCTCCGAGCTCTGACATCTTGGGTTCTAAGTGCCCTCCCAGCTCTGACATCCTGTGTTCTAAGTGCCCTCCCAGCTCTGACATCTTGGGTTCTAAGTGCTCTCCCAGCTCTGACATCTTGGGTTCTAAGTGCCCTCCCAGCTCTGACATCTTGGGTTCTGAGTGCCCTCCCAGCTCTGACATTCTGTTCTAAGGGCCCTCCCAGCTCTGACATTTTCTGTTCTAAGGCCCCTTCCAGCTCTGACATTCTGTGTTCTAAGGGACCTCCCAGCCCTGACATTTCATGTTCTAAGGGCCCAACTAGATACAACATTCTGAACTAGAGCCCATACAACAAAATGAGCTGGTTTTTGTTTTCTTTCTCTGTTGGGGTAAGAGGAGGACCAAAGTGAAGGGAATGTAAGCTTAATTAATACAACTCAACAGTGTGACACATTGACCTAAGAAGCTGACAGGACCTTCACTTATATTGAGAGAGAGGGTAAAGTTCTTGCTCTCCCTCCCCCAGCTGGACCATGGCTGGGTCACTGGCTTCAGTCTGTAGCTCTCTCTGTACATTAGAAAGGATAAATTGGATTGTGTCCAGAAATGGGGAATGAGGAGAGAGCTGGAAAACACCCCATGTAAAATTCAGCAGGAAAAAAAAAACTTCCCCAATGTGACCTGAAAGAGAAAAGACTTAGACAGGCTATGGTAACTGTCCTCAAAGGTTTTAAAGGCTGTAATGGGGAAGAAACAATACATTTGTTAAATGGGTTTAGGTTTTGTGTGACAATTAGAACTTCCCATGAGCGGGAAGGGCTGCCTTCTAACATTGTGGAGTTTCTCTCATTGGAGGTCTTCAAACCTGCTGGAGTACATTCTGGTCAGGACTGTTTTAGAAGGGATTCTAGTTCAACTCCAGGATGGACCAGTTGGCCAGTAAAGCCCCTTCTGATGGTAAGATGCTGGGATTCTATGAGAATGGGGTTCCTGGGACAGTTCATCCAGGGAAACCCCCTCTGCTTGCTAGGACCCACTTCCTTTTTTTCACTGGGTCCCTAGTGTAGGTCCCAGACCATGCTCCCCTGCTGGCTGAGCCACTGAGCTTTACCGTCCAAATGTCACTTCATCAAAATCACCTAACTTGGTACTTTTCGAAGGAGTTTTGTCTTTTCAAGAAACAGGAAGGATTAGTTTAATGGAATTAAGCAGAACCGAAAGACCCAAAGGCCAAATTCACCAACCTAACCTTCTAACAAACACATAGACCTCTCCCACCCCAACCTCCACCCCACCCAAATGACCAGTACAGAAAGAAACGAAATTTATCACTTGTGTCAACCAAATTTCAGTTCCCTAGAATTGAAGCCCTTGGAGGGAGAGAGTACAGACTTGATTTATCCTAATGAGAGGATTCAACTACTCAGACATCCCAAATGGTCCCAGTGACCCAGGAGCATATCAGTCCAACAGCTCCTGACCCTGAGATCAGGCAAACCCAAAGAGGGAGGCAACAGCCCTCTGCTGGATGTGAGTGTTAAGAATTTGGGCTTGGGTATCCAAGCCCCATACCATACAGTAATGGGCTTAGAAACAAGAAAACAACTATGGTTTCATGGTACCTCTGAGAGACTCTGGGTAGCCTAGCTGAAGAAAGTCTGAGCATTAGCAACGTACAAAGCACATATAACTTTATTGTACATGGAAGTGTCTAAGGCAATGGTTGACGAACAGGGGTCCAGCCTAGTCCAAAGTACACAGCTATATGGTCCTTTGCTATTATGATGGATCTAGGAGGGCATCACTCTCTCCACTGATGGAAATCTCAACCAAGCCACATTATCTTCTCCTGTCTACCTTTTTTTGTTCAGTCGTGTCCAACTTTTCATGACCCCATTTGGGGTTTTCTTGGCAAAGATATTGGAATGGCTTGCCATTTTCTTCTCCAGCTCATTTTACAGATGAGGAAAGTGAGGCAAACAGGATGAATTGACTTACCCAGGGACACACAGCTAGTAAGTGTCTGAGATCAGATTTGAACTCAGGTCTTCTTGACTCTAGGCCTGGAACTCTATCCGCTACATCACCTAAATGCTCCCTGTCTACATATCCTCTCACAAACCTTCCCCAGGGCCTAGGCCCTTCTTCTAGATTTTGTGGATTTCAAGGGAGCCCCGAAGTTATTCACTGGTTCTCCCTTCCTGTCGGCAAATGACCTTCTTTTCTGATCCTACCTCTCTGAGGACATCCTTAACGTTTACTGACACTGGCCCTGAGCCTCTCTATTCACTATCTCTTAAATGAACTGTAGCTATAATTCTTCAGTGAGGTTGTGTTCCATGATTTGCAGCCACCGATGATCACTGGCAGAGTTCTGGGATTAAAAAGAGGGATAGCTGTTTGCCCAGTGCTACTCCTTCTGAACCTCTCTGCAGTATTTCACACCATTAACCACGTTTTTCTTCTGAAAACTTTCTCCTCTCTAGGTTTTCCCTAAAATTTCTCCCCCTTTGTTCTCTGCCTACCTGTCTGACCAATCCTTCTCAGCCAACTGGATCTTTAGCCGTACCGCATCCCCTAATTGCAAGTGTCTCCTAGGTGGTGCAGTGAATAGAGCACCAGGACTGAAGTCAGGAAGATCTGAGTTCAAATCCAGCTTCAGACACTGTGTGACCCTAGACAAGTCACTTAACTTCTATTTGCCTCCATATCCCCAACTATAAAATAGGGATAATAATGGCACCTAGCTCCCAGGGCTGTTGTAAGGATAGAATGAGATAATATTTGCAAATTGCTTAGCACAGTGACTGACACGTTACAAGCACTATAAAAATGTTAGCTAGTATTATTGTTCTAACCTGAATCTGCTTCTCTTTCCTCTTTACACACTCTCTCAGTGACTGCATCAGCTCTCTGGGTTCAATTGTCATTTCTAATCAGATTCTTAGAGTGATATATCGAACTCCCATCCCATCACCAACCGGCTAATGGCCACCTTCAACCGAAGGTACCAAAGCTATCTCAAACTCAACATATCCAGTACAAAACTCATTACCTTTCCTTCCAACCCAACCCTCTTCCAAATATTCCTGCTTTTGTCGAGGGCATCATCCACCTCTTAGTGACCCAGGTTCACCTCCTTAGTGTTATCCTTTACATCTTACTCTCCTATATCCCACAATCCAATTACTTGCTCAATCTTGTTACTTCTATCACCATAACTCCCTTCTCTCCATTCAAACAGCCACCTCCCCAGAGGAGGGTCTCATCACCTCTCAGCTATTACAATAGCCTTCTAATTGATCTCTCTACCAAAAACCTCTCTTCACTCCAATCCATTCTCTATGTGGTCACCAAAGTGGTTTTCTTAAAGTACGGGTCTGAAGAAATGAGAAAACGCCCCTTCCTCCTTTTGCAAAGAAGGGGAATTATGGGTATAGAGAAGGGGGACTCTGGGTGTAGAGTATTGCATATACCACCAAACTCAGTTGATGCATTGGTTAATTTAGCGCAGCTGCTTTTTTCTTTGTTACAAGGAATAGCTTATGAGAAAAGGAAGAGGAGAGATATTGCAAATGAAGATGATCTAGAAACAAATTATATAAAATAAAATAAAAATAAAGTAAAGAAGAAAGAATCAATGAAACATGAAAGAAACACAAAAGTGAGTAGAAGGAATATTGGGCAATCTTGGACATTTGAAATGTGCTTTGAATAAGAATTAAATTTTTTTTTAAAAGTCTGACCAGAAAAGAAGGTAGAGCTGGTCATATGTGGGGTATCTGAGAAAATAAATGGACAGTCCAAATCCTACACTGATACTTTTAAAATAGTCAAAGCAGTAGAATGAGGTCTCCAGCAATCTACTTGGTCTTTTGTAGAAAATTTAGAAAAAGACAGAGAATAGCAGAGGTGTGGAGGGTTGGTCAGCACTGTGCATCTGTGGAAGGAGTACACACCTCACAGAGTTCACAGGTTCTCCTACATCTCAATGTAATATTTTAAGGAACCAGGATGTTCCATAATAAAAATTTTTCTTTAGGGTAAACAGTGCTTTATCTGACATCTTCCTCAGCTAGCTTGGGGAATTGAGGAGGTAGGTGCAAGCCTTCTGTAGACCACTAGACAGCGAACCATGGATAGTCAATAGTTCAAACTAAAGGTTGAGGAGGGAGCTACCAGGGAGAAATTGACAAACTGGGGAAACTGTGGTCTATTACACTGATATTAAAATTTTTTAAAAAAACATTGATATATTGTGATACAGTGGAAAGTTTCCTGGACTAGGAGTCAAGAATTCTTTCTTCTTGATCTGCTTCTGCCATAACAACAATAATAACCAGCATTTATGTAGCACCTACTATGTGTCAAGTACTTTATAAATATTATTTCATTTTTATCCTCACAACAACCCTGAGAGGTAGGTGCTATTATTATTATCTTTATTTTACAGAGGAAAATGAGGCAAACAAAGGTTGAGGGACTTGCCCAAGGCCACATAGCAATTTAAATGTGTAAGGCAGGATTTGAACTCAGGGCTTCCTGACTCCAGGCCCAGCACTCTATCCACTTCCCCACCTAGCTGCCTCACTTTGTGCCATGAACTCTCTGTTGAATTTGGGTAAGTCATTTCCCTTTTCAAATAGCTTCTTATGTATAAAATGAGGGGATTGAGCTAAGAATCACTCCTAGCCTGACATCCTATGTTCTAAGGGTCCTCCCAGCTCTGACATTCTGTACTCTAAGGGCCCTCCCAGTCCTTACATTCTGTGTTCTAAGGGCTCTCCCAGCTCTGACATTCTCAGTTCTAAGGGCCCTCCTTACTTTGACATTTCATGTTCTCAGGGCCCTCCCACCTCTCACACTCTGTGCTCTAAGGCCCCTCCCAGCTCTGACACCCTGTGTTCTAAGGGTCCACCCACCTCTGACGTTCTTGTTCTAATAACCCATCCACTTTGGGTGTTACGTTCAATGAAAATGTTGGACCATATTAAGAGGCATAATTAGATTACAAGAGAAACAGTACTTGGGATTCCCCCTTTGCCTCCCTTTTCTAAGAATTGGCAGCCAACGTGCACAGTTGGGCCATTCACTACTTGTGCACATAGCCTGGTCTAACCCACATCACCATTGAGTGATACCAGTGAGGGCAGGATGTGGTGAAGATTCCCAATTCAGCAGTTTTGAGAAACTGAGAAACACCCAGTTAGAAGGGAAGGGCAAAGACATCAAGTCAGCCGTGCTAGAGAGCTTGGGCCAGGTTTTAGAAGACCCTATTCCAGGCCTGAGGCAGGAAGATGATACTAGTCATCTTTAGCCGGTCTCTTGGATTATTTTCTTTCCTCTTCATATGATAAGGCTCACTCACATTCAGGGCAAAATTCACCACCACCCCGATCATCATTCCTCATTTGTATAGCCCCTGATAATTTCCAAAGCACTTTGATTTCCATGATCACATTGGACGTTTCTCTGAGAAAGTCGAAGCAGGGGTTGTTGTCCATCTGAATCATACAGATTCAAAGACTGAGGTCCAGAGGGAGAAATGGACCTTAAGAATCAGAAGACCCAGTTTAGAGTCCTGCCTCCATTAAATGACTCTGTGGAACAAGTAACTTCCCAATGCTTGGCTTTACTTTCGTCGTCTACAGAATTAAAGGGTTGGGACTAGAAGGTCTGCCTCTAAGGGTTGTCCTGGGTCTGATGTTCTGGTTCTATGTACTTCTGTAAAGCTCAAAGTGTTGTATAATGTAAATTATGTGTATTATTATGAAGTCCCTCTCAGATTTGACATTCCCTGTTCTTTTTTTTAAATTAAATTTTATTTTCAGTTCTGAATTCCTCCCCCCCACCTCCCCCTCTCTTATCCATTTACAAAGCAAGAAAAACAAAACACTTTACAAACATATATACTCAAGTAAAATAAATTCCCTCATTAGTAATGACATCCTCTGTCCTAAGGCAGTTCTGACATTCTGTGCTCTAAGGTCCCTCCCAGCTCTGACAGTCTGTGTTCTAAGGGCCCTCCCAGCTCTGACATTCTGTATTCTGAGGGCCCTCCCAGCTCTGACATTCTGGGTTCTAAGGCCCCTCCCATCTCTGACATCCTGTGTTCTAAGGACCCTCCCAGCTCTGACATTCTGTGTCCTAAGGTCACATAAAGAATCAGAAGCAGGGTTCCTTTTCCCATACCACAGCGCTTCCCTATCAGACTACAAGCTTCTTGAGGGCAAGGAGGAAGTCATCTCTTTGCCTGTTCTCCAGAGAAGCTGTTCCACAAGTGACTACCAGCTCATTCCCTGCAGACACGCCCATGGTTATATCCCATATGTTTCCCTCTAAACCAAGCAACCATGAAGCAAAACTTACCACTTTGGTCTCTTCTTTGATGCAGGACAAGAGCTTCTCTACAAAAAAAAAAAAAAAAGAAAAGAAAAGAAAGAAAAGGAAAGGAAACATTTCAACCACCTTCTCCCCCAAGAAAGAAGTTGCCAGGAAGGGGTCAGTAGGAATGGTTGGCAAATATCTGAGTAAGAAGTGAGCACCCCTCTAGAGTCTCGGCTTTGGCCTACCACTCCAGCCTTTTTGTCCATTGTCTCCCTACCTGCTCTCTATTAAAATCAAACCAGCTTCTCTGTCTTTCAAATAATATCCTACACATTTCCACCTCCAAGCTTTTGCTCAGGCAGTTCCCTCCACCTGCAGTACTATCTTTCCATATCTAAATTATACTCACATTTCAAGGTCAGGCTGAAATGCTATCTTCCCATGAAGCCTCTTTTACTTTCCCAGCTAGGTACAATGTCTCCCTCTTCTGAACTCCCACAGTACCATATTCCTTTCCTACAGCATTTTGCTTAACCTGCCTTGTTTTACTTACTTGTCTAAAGGTCTTCCCTACAAGACTATAATCTTCTTGAGGTCATGGACTGTGTCCTGTATAACTTAGAACTTTCCACATGGTAGACACTAAAAAAATGTTTGCTAGATAAATGAATAATGAATCCATCCTTCATGCATATTTCTGGATAATTTTTCTTAATGAATGTATCTAACCAACTCACTCCTGTGCTCAAAAATCTTCAGTGGTTCTCTATTTCCATTAAAGTTCAGACTCTGTTGTCTGGCATTCAAAGCCCTCTACAATCTGACTCCCTCCTATATTTCCTGGCTTAACTCTAATCACTTCATGTTCCAGCCAGGGTGATCTCCTCTCTGCCTTTTCCCCATCTATGCCTTGTTCTGTCCCAGAATATGTCCTATGCGTTCCCACCCCATGTTGCTGCCCATGCCTTACGGCTTCCTTCCCCTTCTCTTAAATTTCTACCTGTCCTTTAAATGCCTTTCCTTAAGGGAGCTTTCCCCGACACTCTCTCCACCCCATCTGTACTCTCTCTACCCTGTCTACACTCTCTCCACTTTGGTAGCTTCCCTTCTTAGATGTCATATAACCCTTTGCCTTGAACCTCTCATTGTAGCATTGTAACATTGTAACATTGTGTATTACAGTTATTTTGTGAGTCATGTCTGACCTTCATTCTTGATCATACGTTCATTGAAGGAAGAGACCTTATCCTAAGTAAAGTTTGTATTTCCCCAGTACCTTATAGAACAGGTGCTTAATAAATGTTTATCAAATGAATGAATGATTGACTGAACACAACTTACTTTTTCTCTGAGACAACGTGAAACGGAAAATCAGACCAATTAGTAGCAAGATGACAACCATCAGGCCCAAAATCCACCCTAAGGAAACAAGAAACCCTTTATAAATTCATGAAAGGACAACTCTTCCCCCATATATAAGATGAACATTATCTTTTTCCAGTTGGGCAGACCAAGAGCTAGAGGGGACATTGAGAGTTGTCTGACCACATCCCAGTCTTCCAGCCACTGTCAGGGAGAGTGGGGCAGTGTCCTTGGCCTTCATGCCAGAAATGCTTGGCTGGTGATGAATGGGGCAAATTCCCATCACCACCCTTTGCCCCAGTCCAAAAAGGAGGCTCTGCAAAGCTGGTCCCTCAATGCAATTCTATGTGCATACTGGTCTCTCTGACACCAATTTCTTCCAGACAAAGACCAAATCAGATTGTGTTGACTTGAAGCCTACTTAGTTTCCCAGGTTTCTGCTCCCATGTGAGATCAAAGGAAGGACTGATCAGAGAATACACTCACATCAAAGAAAGGCCTGAGAGAAGAATACACCCGTATAAGCATTTGGGGGTGGGGGATGGTGGGATTTAGTTTGTAGGGATAGAAAGCAGATCTGTGATGTCACTGGTATAGGAATTCCCTTCAGTAGTACAGATTGGCACTTTCTCTGCAACTTAGAACCTTAGAGAGTTGCTTGGGGGCCCTGAGAGATAGTTGACTTCTTCAGGGTCACACAGTCAATATATGTCTAAGGTAGGACAAGGTCTTCCTGTCTCCCAAGGTCAACTTTCTATCCACTATACCAAGCAGTAAGCACTCTCTCTCTCTCTCTCTCTCTCTCTCTCTCTCTATCTCTCTCTCTTCTCTCCCCCCCACATATACATATATACACACATGCACACATACATATGTATACATATATACATGAATAAATGTTTATCAAATGAATGAATGGTTGACTGAAACTTTTTCTCTGAAACATAAATGCATACACACATTATATAGTAAAATTTATATTGTCTATATCATATACACACATATAAATGTATAGTATATATAAGACACTATACATACACATGTGTGCATATGTATAATATACTATATGTGTGTATACCTATCATATAATATATGCATATACACATATAATATGTTACACATGTGTGTACACATATTTTCCTTGGCCACAAGGGACCCCATACAAGCACACATGTGTAGACACACATCTATACATATATGTGTGTATGCATATGCACATATATATGTATATGATATTATAGTAGATTTACTCATATGTATTGTATATACTGCATACCTGTATATATATACACATACATGTCTACATATAATACTGAGGCAGACTGTTTTTATATATACAGTATACATATATACATGTGTATACCTGTATACATGTACACATGTGTATACTTATAAGCACACACACAAATATATATTTAGGTATAGTCTGCTTGTGTATGTATGTATGTGTGCATATATGTATGTATACATGTGTGCGTGTGTATTTACAGACACATATGCTTTTCCCTGGCTTCCATTAACACTCAGCTCAGATCTCACCTTCTAGACGAGGCCTTCCCCAGTCCCCTTCCCCTCACTGGCACATCCCCCACTGCAGGGCTTTGTCCCGACATTTATACCATTTCTATCTTGCATGTACAATTTTTTCACCTTTTGTCTCCTCTCACTAGAGTGGAAGCTCCATGAGGGCAGGGCCCATGTTTTTGCTTTTCTTTGTATCTCTGGCACCTAGCACAGAGTTAAGTGCTTAAGAAAGCTTGTTGCCTGATTGGTTGACTGTTGTTTTCCCCCTCAGACTACAAACTCTTGCTTTTGTCTTTTTATCTTTTGCATCTTACGTGGAGCCTTGCATGGGGGTCATTTAATAAATGCCCTTTGATTGATTTAAAAAAAGACAAGGGCAACACACTTTTACAAATCTGCAGGTGAGTTTGGAAGGGGATACAAATAAATACACTCTCATTGCTATTATTTTGCATTTTTTTGTATGTGTGTGAGAGCAATTGGGGTTAAGTGACTTGCCCAGGGTCACATAGCTAGTGAGTGTTACGTTTCTGAGGTTGGATTTAAACTCACGTCCTCCTGACTCCAGGGCCAGTGCTCTATCCACTGCACCACCTAGCTGCCCTGTCTTTTTTTTTTTTTTTATGGAGAGGCAAATCATCCCAAATTTAAGGTTTTGTCTGGAGATTTGCATCATCCATCCACCCATCAGCAGCCAACTGTATACCAGTACCCTGTGTTTGACACTGGGGGTACAAAGACAAAAGCAATAGTTTCTACCTTCAGGAAGCTTACATTCCACTGAGGGGAAACAACACAAACCCAGATAAATAAATATGAAATATATAAAAAGAAATCAATCAACAAACATTTTTTAAGCACCTCCTACACGCCAGATACTCTTCTAGGCACTGGAGATACAAAAACGAAAGTTAAATAGTCCCTATCTTCAAGGAGCTTACAGTCTATTGGAGGAAACAACATTTAAATGCACAGATAGAGACAAAGTAAATACAAGATAATTGGTGAAGGGGAGGTACCAGTGGAGGGGAAATCAAGAATGGTTTCTTATAGGAAGTGGCCTTTGAGATGAGCCTTAAAGGAAGCTAGACATTCTAAGACTCCATATTTTGCTTATTTGTGCATTTGTATATTTAGTGACTAGGTCCATACCTCTGTTAGACTTCGAGAACCAGTGATTTTGTTGGGCAGCCGTGGGGTGAAGGATAAGCCCCTCTGAGCTTAGTTAGGGTGGTTCTCAGACAACAGACATACAATCCAATGACAGTCTCATGTGTGTGGGAAGGCTTTCCAGTTTGGTAGGATCTGCCAGAGTTTATATTCTAATTGGATAGCTTTATGAGACTGTAAGGTCCCTGTGGGCAGGACCCTTATTCATCCCTTGCAGCACCTAGCAATGGTCCTTGAACAAAGTAGTTGATTGGTCATGTTTGCTTATCTGAATGAATATATACTTACACATGAGCTGTTCCATCAGAGCAATAAGTAGTACTTGTTGAGGCTGGGGTGAATACCGGAAACAGTGCCCTGGGCAAGCAGCACAATGTATGTTATCATTTGGAGGGTGGGAGCACAGTGGGATGGCCAAAGAGCTCACTTCAGCCTGCCATCTGGGGGTTTCTATTTTAACTAATTTTAATTATTTTAGCTAATTTTAACTAATTATTTTCACAAACTATAGGCTTAGCTTTGCTGTTTTTATGACGTTGAAAGACTCAGGATGGATGTAGGTGGATGTAGGCACCCTCTAAGTTTGATGGCTTAGAGCACCAAAATGGTGCCCCACCCTTGTTACTGTTCTGACACCTACACATGTGTACAAGCAAAGACTACCCATGTTCCTTCTTCTCTAGGATATGGTTATTGGCATCTCTGATTGAAAACTAGCAAGGAGGAAAGGGAAAGCAGAAACGAAGCCCAGGCTATTGGGTTTCCCATTCCTGGCTGCCCCAGGTTTACACACACAATCCTAAAACACCATGACGCATCTGTTGGTAGAGTTTATTCCTGTCACTTACCAAGTGGAAGAATAGGGCCATTAGAAAAGACCAGACGGATGGTGGGCTGTGGCTGGGGTTGGGGAGAGGTGCCCAGGGTGACACTTGGCTGAGAGGTCCACGTTGTATCTTTGGGATTCATGAATCCAGGCTGACGCTTGGGGAGAGGTGGACCTGCCTTTGTAGGAGCGGAGACCATGTCAGTGCAGATAGCATCTGAAGTTGCATTACCAGGAATGGCCACAGAGTGACATCTGGAAGAGAAGGAGGCTTGGGTTCATGAGAGAGCTGACCTTGGAATAAAGGAGTCCTCCCCTTGGTTGGGAATGTCCTCAAGATCCCAGGTCACTGGGGAGAGGCTCTGGAGACAATTGGCCCCCAGTAAAACTGTGAGAGCAAAACTCTTCCATTCTTCCTTCAATTCTACTTCCCTATCCCACTCCCAAATTTCCTGGTTCTCTCCCTATGATTTCTGACCAAACCTGAATTTCCACTTTATCCATGCATCCTTCCACCCCCACCCATCAAAACTGCTGTGTCCTGTGTCCTGGTCCTTCAAGATCCTGCTCACTAGTAAGATCAATCTGACAAATCCATGATAAGAGATTAAAGATACTGATACCCCATTTTTAATAAGAGTCCTCAAAGTCTTGACCCAAAGGAGTTGGTGGTGGGAATACCAGAGGTTAGTGGCAGATTTAGGGGGTTGGGAGACTCTTCAATGTCTAGTTTATGACTGGATTAAAAAGGTCTAATAGTAGAGGAAAGAGAGCACTTGAATTGGCCAGGAGACCAAGGCAACTCTAGTTGAGACCTTTTATCACCCCTCGCCTGGACTAGTGTAATGGCCACCTAATTAACTGGTTCCCCACATCAAGTCTCTCCCTCTTTGATCCTGCCCAAGCCGTAGTCCTAAAACACAGGGCTGACCTTGTCACACTCTTGCTCAAGAAACTCCTAGGGCTCCCTATTAACACTTGAATCAAATGCAAACTTCTTTGTTTGGCTTTTAGGATCTCCCCTAGGCTCCAGCCTAAGTCACCTTCACCCTGTTCCTCACCCATGATATTCCACCTTCCATCTCTGCACTTTGCCTGGAAGGGATTCCCTTCTTGTCTTTACCACCCAGTCCTCTTTCTTTCAATGTTCAGGTCAAGTATCACCTTCTGAATGAGGCCTTTCTTGACCCTTACAGCTACTAGAGCTTTCCCACACCCACCCACCCCAAAATGACCTTGTATATACAGGATGTCCCAAAATTCTTAGTGCAATTTTAAGCTATGATTATTAATAATTATAATCATAGCTAACATTTATATAGTCCTTACTAGTGCCAGAGCTGTATTTAATATAAACACCTCAAGAATAAGGTCTAATTTAATTTTTTTCTTCATATCTCAGTACCTGACAAAGTGCCTGGGGCATAGTAGGTACTTAATAACTGCCTATTGATTGATTCTGCCACTTAATAACTTTGTATGATATGGGCAAGTCATTTTTTTGTCTCTGAACCTCATACTCTTTATCTGTAAAATAGGGATTATAACAATCAATAATATTAATAATCACATCATTACATTTCATTATATTATATAACTATATAATGTTATGTCATATAGTTATATAATAGTATAAGGTATTTTATCATATTATTATATATTATATAATATTCTAATGTGATATTATGTTATATTATACTATATAATGATACAATACCATAATATTATAAAATCCTACAATATTATGATATAGTATAACTATTATCATTACATTAATAATTAAGAGCTTGAACCCTCTACCTCCAAAGATAGCTATAATGAAAGGGCTTGGTGAATCCCAACCGTATGAATGTCAACTCACCCCGCAATCCTCACAAATTTATTTCATATTGTACATATATATCTGTGAACACAGTCTATCCTCCGGGTAGAATGTAAATTCCCTGAAGCCCAGGACAGTCTATCTTTCCCATTTGCATCCCCAGCACCTAACACAGTTCAGGGCATGTAGGAGGAGCTTAATTAATACCTAGTGATTGATTGACAGACATGAAAGTGCTATATGAATGTCAGTCATTAGCACAGAAGTTAGAGCAGGAGACCTGAGTTCAAATTCTGGCTCTAACACTGGGATCATGGGCCAGATACTTCATCTTTGTAGACTTTTGTTTCCCCTTTTATACACCAGGAGCAACATTGTGCACCTCACAGAGTTTTGGGGAAAAAACAGTTATTTTTTTGTGGCTTTGTACACATAGCAGATTGAGTACTGGCCTTGGAATCAGGAAATCCCAAGTTCTAATCTCACCTCAGAAACTTGCTAGCTGGGTGCCCCTGGGAAAATTACTTACCTTCCTCAGTTTCCCTTTTCTCACTGCAAAATGAGGATAATAATAGTACCTCCTTCACAGGGTTATTGTGAAGGTGAAATGAGAATATTTGTAAAGTGTTTTGCAAACCTTGAAATATATTATAAAGCATTGTTATTACTAATATTATTGTGTCTGCTGAATTGAACTTATAAAACCTCAAAAGTACTACATAATGCCAGTTATCATTATACTTAGCCTACCCCTGCTCAGTGGCTCTGGTCACTCCTCTGTTCCTTCCCTCCGCTCAAGGTAAAGACTAACCTGGCAGAAATCTCAGAGGATTTAGAGTTGGAAGGGATCTAAGAGCTCCTCATTTTATATCTCATTTCACAGCTGAAGAAACTGAGGCCCAGAAGGAATCTGAACTCAGGTCTTCTGCCCCCAATTCCAGTGTTCTTTCAACTATGCCATGCTCACACAATTATGCCCTGTACTTCCTGGCACCTGGCACTTCTTGTACTGACCCGTGGGAAAATGCCACTCAGCAGAAAACCTCATCCCGGCCCACCAGAACCACAGGAACCAGTTACTCACATTCGGTGGGGCTTGCAAGCGTCTGTAGATGACACAGTGTCTGAAAAGGTGCCCGGGGCACAGGCAGCACACTCCACATTTGAATTCGAGGTTCCTGAAAGCCAGAGGGAAAAGTCCAGAGAATTTCAGTGATTTTCAATCATTGGTCTAGATATCAAACTGTGTCTCTCTCCAGATCACCAACCCCAAGGAAGGATTGTGAGACAGGAGCTCCGGGCACAGAGTGGGGCAGAAGGAACCTCCCAATGGCACACAGAGGGGACTGGGAAAAGTCAGCCCAGGAGGTGCCTACGTATGAATTAGTAAGTGTTGGTACCTAGCTCCACCCTTGTATCTATATGGGTATAGTACACAGGGAGGCAGAGAAAATCAGAGCTGGGAGGGGCCTTACAGCATGGAATGTTAGAACTGAGAGGGGCCTTAGAACACAAGATATTAGAGTTGGAAGTACCCTTAGGATACAGGATGCCAGAGTTGGGAGGGCTCTTAGAACACAGAATGTCAGAGCTGGGAAGGACCTTAGAACGCAGAATGTCAGAGCTGGGAGGGCCCTTAGAACACAGAATGTCAGAGCTGGGAGGACCCTTAGAACAAAGAATGTCAGAACTGAGAGAAGCCTTAGGACAGAGGATGTCAGAGCTGGGAAGGCCCTTAGAACACAG